GGGGGGGGGATCAAAGCAGAGAGCAGCTCAACAAGTAGATCATTATGAGAGACTAATGAGCTAGTTTCTGATACCGAATTATGACACTTCTTTTAAAAAAAAAAAAATAAGGCCTATTAAGGGAGTCCACCTTCCCATCTCACTGCTCCTACATACTTGAGCCAGCTCAAAGTGGGTGTCAGATACCGGGTGGGGGTGGGGGGGGGGGTAGCTGGGAACCTGGCCCAGTGCCCCACCTCAAGCTTTGCCGAAGGCGGCCATGACGGCCCAAATCATCTCACAGGCCTGAGCCTTGGTGCCCTCCGCGTCGGGGTTGCAGTCCAGCAGCGTGCGGGAGCGTGTAGACGCCGTCTCGTACTGCTCGTCGGTGAGTGGCGTCAGCACGTTCTCCAGCACGTCGGAGGCGTGAGCCAGCAGGATGAGCGCCAACATGCGCTGCTCCATGCGATGCGGGTCGTTCACCCAGCGTTCCAGCAGACTGTCCTGCACGCGCTTCATCAGTCGCTGCTTCTCCGTGGTGTTGGTGACTGGGTGTGTGGTCATGTCAAACAGCAGGAAGTTCTGCTTCTCCGTGGTCAGGATGCCTTTCTCCACCAGATTCTTGGCCAGGCGCTCGCGGACGTTGCGGATCTGGAAGTGCAGCTTAAGGGGGTTCCAGGTCTCTCCTGGGGGGGAGAGGCGTTAAAACCCACCCAACAAGACGCAAATCCATTCACAAGAACCGGGGGGCCCTGGTTTCACTCCTTTCCACAGAGCAGATCTTACAGCTCAGTAGTTCTCAAATCGTGGTACTTAGAGCGCCCCCAAGTGGTACTAAAGAAGACCGAAACTCTGTTTCTGTGATTAGAGTTATTATTCCCCCACCTGCATAGCACCTGGCTGCTTTGATTTGATCCAAAGTGGTACTTGGTCCAAAAGGTTTACGAACCACTGTTACAGCCTATCAAATTTAACTCCCAGGGTCAGGTTCAGCTGCACATTTATACAATGTTGTGACCCATGGACAATGAGCAAGACTTCAGTACCAAGTACACATGGTACTTGGTACAGGGACCCCAGCTAGCTACCAGAAAGAAAGACAGCACTGCAAGCCACCTCTCTGATGAAGTCAGAATCAGTGTAATTAAGGGTTTAACAGATGGAACGTGAGTGTTCTAATGACATTTACACTATACTCATGCAGTATTGCCTCGAGTTCTTTTTTGCACTACAAATAACATTACACTATACCAAAAGTAACTGCATACATCTGCGCTAAACTGTTAATATTCTTTTCCTTGGTACCTTTTTTCATACATTTTTTATATCTCCTTCCTTACTTATATTTGTATACCTGTTGCTAGACAAATTCGACCCCCCCCCCCCCCCCAAGAGGATGAATGAAGTCTAACTCCAAATCTGCATCCACAGCTGATTTCCATCCACTGTTCCTCAGGGAGTAATCATTCCATTATTTTGCAATACAAGGTTTTAGAGCTGATGTGGAATTTACGGAAGAGGATTAGGGCCACCATGAAAATATAATTTGAATTCTGACTTTTCTCTCAGAATTCTGAGTATAGAGATAAAGTCAGAATTCTGAGAAAAAAAGTCAGAATTCAAATAATATGTTCACGGTGGCCCTAATCCTCTTCTGTAGGAATTCTCAGAAATGGGGATGTAGAAGAATGAAAATATCACAGGAACTTCTAACTTCAGCCAGAACTCAAAAACGTTTGTCAGTTTAGCGGACATCTCAAAAGCTTGTTAAGCATTGATCACATTTAATTACATGTTAATGTCCATAGCAGCAAAGTGTGACCACCCACAGTAAACATCGACACGCATCAGGGATGGACTCTGGCGTCCTTTGGGGGACGCACCAGAAGACCTGATCCCAGATCAGTGGTAGAACTCACCAGTGAGGAGCTCGATCCAGCTCTGCACAGACTCCGGAGGCTCCGTTGCCTTGATGTGCTTGAGGGCTTCGTCGAGAAGTACGTCTCCTGTAGGGGCCTCTGACTTAAACAGAACCTGGGGGGGAGGTGTTGTTGTTATGACATAATATGGACTAAAAATCCACTAGCAAGCCCCTGTCTCACCCACATCCAACTCCCAGTAGGAGAGGAGATCCTCGCTGATACTGCAGGAACATGCTACTGCACAGGGCCAAGATATGGTCTCACATGGAGGGGGGGTCCCCGTTAAGGTGGGGTCATTCAGTTTGGCCACGACACCTCCCTCATTTAGCACTGTAAAGCACTACAATATACCCATCTAAAGAGGCATTATGCCGCAAGGTGATTCAAGCATCTGTGCTAAGCGTCTGAGCCTGTGATCGGAAAGTCGGAGGTTTGAGCCCGGGTTCGGCAGAACAGTCACGTGACCGTGGGCCCTTGGGCGAGGCTCTTAACCCCCCCGCTGCAGGTGGCTGCCCTTCGCTGCCTAACTTGCTCTCACCTACATACGTGTCTGTGTGTCATGGAGCGCAAGATGGGGTAGGCGAGAAGACATATGAAGAACATATATTAAGGGAATATGTATAATGTATCAGCAGCAGAGCCTTTTATGACATGTTTAACAAGGAGTCGGTGTACATTCAAACATCTGCACAACAAGCGATATCTTGGTAGTCTGTGTGTGTAGACTGTGGTAATAATTAACAGGATTGGCCACTCCTTCATGCCCGGTGGTTCCGGGGATAATCTGTGGGGTCCCCGTAACCCAGGAGTGGATAAGCGGTTAAAAACGGACAAAGCTTAATTGTTGTTAACAATGGACGCCCCCTTGTCACCTTGCGATCCAGCAGTCTGCGCTTCCGCATGGTGGCGGGTTCGAGCTGGATCCGCCCCCGCAGTGCCAGCTCGATGAGGATGCAGCCCCGCAGACCTGACGAGATGCAGTCGTTCCAGAAAGACGTGTAACCCTGAACAAGAACAGGTTCTGCGTCACTGACTCCGGCCCAAAATAGCAACTATCCATGAATTTAATGGCACATAAAGTTCATGGTTCACTGCAATCCTTACTTTTAGGATCATGGTTCCATAGAGCAGGGAAAAGAGTTTGATTTGAATTTTTTTATTAAAACCGCAAACATGAACACAAATAGGAACAGCCGCAAATCAAAAGCAATGCATCTTTCAACGTGTGAACAACGAAACCTAAGGGTTGCTTATTTGCACTTTTTTTTTTTTTTTTTTTACATTTTTACAATCAAAAACATCATAATGAACTAAATCTCATGTAAATTCTGTGTTCTCTACCTCCAAGTATGGTTGCATATCTGTAGCAATGCACACACTCAGAATTGTAAATATATGTATATTTTTAGCCTAGTCAAAATATCCTGGCAGAAATGCCTTAAATGCAACGGGGAAACTAACTTAGAGGCCGAATCTGCTTTGTTCCAGTCGTGCACGTGCGCGCACACACACACACACGCACACGCACACACATTGTCTCAAAGGAGTTAGCATGTTGGCTGTTTCCAGAATCTACTATTATAGTCAGACTTGTCAACAAACTCCATATGTTCTCCAGTGTTGGGGCAATTTATTGGGAAACTAAAATGTTCCCAAACCACCAAATTATGATTGACTGTAACTAGCATTAATCATAAGCAACTCAGTTACAATTAGCATTAAGGCTTCCCATGTAAAGCTGCAGCAAAGCCTTTTATTACATTTCTATTCATAAGCCTGACCTGAATTAGCCAATACTAATAAACCTTTAGGTTTTTAAATGATTATTTTCGAACAAAGACCCAGCAGTGATATTCAGCACTGCTGTGGAGCCACTCCTCTGAAATTCCATTACGCTTGACAATCCACGCATGCACCTTGCGCAATAACCTTATTACGGGCCCCAAACAGCTCACTGAAGAACCAGCAGGACCAGACTCCCTTCACCCAGCCGAAGTATCACTAAAGTATGGGCACTGAAATTCTGTAAGGAATGTCGAACATCAGAAAGCACCTACTTATGGGATTTCATACATTTCTTTACATCTCGTTCCTTAATTATATCTGTATACCTGTTGCAGAACCAAACTGTTTTTCCCCCCCAAAGGGGATCAATAAAGTCAAGTCTACATCCACAGCTGATTAAGGATACTTTTTTTTTTTTTTTTTTAAAAACAAAGAATTCTAGTTACACCAAATTCCAGCAGCACAAGGCCACACCTCTGACGCTTTGAGAACTACATCTGGTCCGTTTATCTTTTATTATGCAGAGATCCCACATCAAAGCCCTAGTTGCTTATTCAGGAGAAATGAGCCATGTTTCCTCCTGACGCACAAGCCTGTCCTTCAGCCTACATTCCACAAGATTTGTTTAAGACCATTAAGGGGAAAGTGAGACCCAACCTTGGAGCAGGACATTAGGATGGCGATGCCGGATACTTCAACAGAAAGCAAACACGCTAATCAGTCTCATGAAAAACAACTACAGTTAATCCAGGTTTTATTTTTCAGTCCTCAAACCAAGCCACATTTTAGAAACCCCTGAAAATCAAGGCCAGAGGAGACCAAGCAAGAACCGGAATGGTGTGAAAGCTCCGGTTTTAGAATATAAAGAACTTCATGGCAGGAAATGAGAAAGACTTGCTATGGCAAGCTAACACCCAGCCGAGCTACGCTAAAATGGCCACATCACTGCATGTTCTGCGAAAGACATGCTATGGCACGCTAACACCCAGCCCAGCTACGCTAAAATGGCCACATGACTGCATGTTCTGCATCTGCTCACGATGGAACCAAGAACCGGAAATTCTTCACCTACACATCTATCATCAAGCCAGGATTCTCAAAGGCCTCAGCTTTTATACGGAATACAGGGCTCAGGGTTCTGAACAGCCTATCAGCACTGGCCAAGATTAAGCCACATTATTTATAACCATAAAGCCTTTCTTGTACAGAGAGCATCCTAACGAGGCAATGAGTGCAGAGAAACGCTTCACTCATACGCACGGATGAGCGCCATAGTCCACTTAACTTCCTTGCTCCTATTGTTATACACATGGTTTTTACAAGACAAGAACCAACCTGATTTACAGCTTTTTTGCACTACCGGGTAATTCTCTTACACACACATACCTTAGGTTACATATCCAGCTTGAAGCTACAAACCTGCTTTAATCATTATGAACTATATGGCACTTTTAAGGGAAGTACCAGGATACACTAGTAAAAAAAAACAAACAAAAAGGTACCTGCAGCATTTCACAGGTTCTGTTCAAATATCACAAGCCGCATTTGGACTTTACAGGCATTTTACCTGGCTGAATTTTTTTTACCAAATGCAAGTCTGTTGTGACTTCAACTATTTTTACCTTCACTAGGCAATAAGCATCACGGTCCAATTTGCATAGTGCGGCCTGTAACGCACAACCACCAAGATGTAAATACGCTCTCTTGGTTTTAAAGAGTCATTGCATAAGTTTGTGTGTATTTTTTAAATGATTGTCAGTTATCAAAAAGGGTCACTTGGAACCATAAAAGGGGCCCCTTTCAATTCTTTGAGCACCCCCAGCCTGAACAGAGATACACAGGTGACAGGTTACCCAGGCAGGGGTTACCCAGGCAGGGGTTACCCAGGCAGGGGTTACCCAGGCAGGGGTTACCCAGGCAGGGGTTACCCAGGCGATCTGACTAACAAATGAAGTCAAGTATCAGGCACCACAGTCCCCTAAACCCAGACATGAGAGCTTATTCCACTCAGAAGTGCAGCGACTAAAATGGATCAGATTCTAGTCCTCAGTGATAGCAGGCGAGTAGGTGATTTTTTTTTAACTGCACTGCTCTGGCTTTGTACGTCCTTGGTTATGGATCTGATTCCTGCCAGGGCTTTGAGAATTTTCATGTCAGGCCGACATCAATGTTCCCTTTCTATCAGAGGCCCATTGAGCTACTCCACTTGTCAGAGTGCCCCTTCTATGTTCCATGATGGTTTGAGTACAGGAAAGGAGGCAGAAGAAGTGGGAGTGGAAACACATGAGGCACCCTAGACAAACCCCACTACGGGCCCCCTTCATTACCCCTGCAAACCTCACCACCCAATTCACCTCCTTCATGGGGGTTAGCAATGGCAAAAGTTTATTAAACAAGGTCAGCTGAGGCCCCTACCCTGGGTAAACCTGTGCATTAACACCCATCTGCCTTCCATACTGTGATTTCCTCTCACGATCTCAATCCAACAATACATGCTTTAGATATAACTGGGGTCTTTAAACCCTGTGCTTCCTGTGTTGGGAATCCTGGACTGGAGACTTGTCTCTTTCAGGGCAGGGAAGGTAACACCATACCTCCTTATCCTTCAGGCCTAGCAAAAGGATTTCCTCCATGAGGGTCAGGCGAAGATCCTTGGAGTCACGCTCGTCGTCATCTGGGGGGTAACCTCCCTGGTCAGCGTCCTCCTCCTGGCTCCGTCTCTCTACCGCTGGCTCAGAGCGGCGACTCCGATGGGTAAGTGTGGTCATCCTGCTCACCGGGCCATTTGCAAGAGTAAAAACAATCACTACTATGTAATACAAATCATAAACAAATCACCAATCAGCCTGCCCAAACTGATTGATACTGACAGTGTTAATACAAGATGTAACACCAAATAATTTATCATTTACCAAGTTACCAGATAATATTATTCCTACCTTGTTCAAGACAACCAGTATTTATAAGGTCCTAAAACGTGGAATAAAATAAAACAGGAGCTGCTTATTCTGTCACAACTGTATCGTATAAAGCAACGAGGCCCCGTCTTCTCCTGTTTTACTCTTAGTCGATATTTACGGCTGCGGGAAGATTTTAAAAAAAGATTTTCTTTTTAAGATTTTGGCTACCCTTGTTTTATGCGTACTAGGTTAATTAGTAGCATGTTACAAGTTAACCCGGCTAGCGAGACTCACGTGCACTGCGAGGAATGCACAGGTAAACTAAAGGAATGAAGAGAACAAAACCAACAAAAATAATCGCTGGAGATTTAAAAAAAAAAAACTCTCAAAATAAGTTACGTTTTCCTGGACAAACTGGTTAATACTTGGCAATTCAACTGTCGTGAGTTAAGACCCTATATTTACCCAGAAATAAATTGCAGACAAAGCTCAACTAAGTCAAAACGTGGACAATACTTGCTCCATAAAGTTATCTATGAGGAATCTGAGCGGTTAAACGATAATTAGCTTAGTTATCTCTACTTACAATTTCCTCGTCAGTATAAAATACACACACAGACAACTATCGAAGCATTTTACTCACTGTCAGTATGCTTGCCACCGGTTTTATATACAGATCTTCAATCAGTTAGTTTAGTTATATTTTTAATGTTTTCCCCTTTTGCTAAAAAAAAAATCGCAAAATACACTTAGCTAAACACTTCCTATAGTTGGAAAGCCTATCTGGCTAGGCGAAGTAAATGTAAAGTAAATACAAAACTTCCTGTTAATAACAACCAAACATGATTACCTTTTGTGGACCCGCCCGTCTTAGAAAAAAATGACCAATTAAAACGGTGCATGTCAAAATTCACCAATGACCTAAATAGACCGACAGAAGCCCCGCCCACCATTCTTTGGCGCTTTGGCGGAAAGGCTAAAACTAACTGGTAACGTTTGGTTTTGGTTTAACTGTTTTATTTTTCCTCCCTCTGGAACGTGGGCTACTTTCCCAACATGACACTGATGTTAGAGCCAAGCTCTGAATTTAAGATTGTATGTAATTAACTGATTAACCATTATTAGTGCGTCTCATTTTATCATGCATTTCTCAGCAGTTGTCAAATATATTACCAACCACACCAAAACTAGCATACTTTCACAGGGTTTGCTGAACTAGTCATTCGCATTGAAATCTGGCACAATATGTGTCTTACGGGATCGCCAAGGAGGTGGCCTGTTTTCGCCCCTGAAAATGTAAATACGGTAAACTCATCGCACGAGGTCTCATTGATATCTCATTGAGCTTATCGTGCGTAGAAGGTTCAACGCATTTATGTATTTCTGATATTTCTGAAAAAAACGTGACACTGATATAAGGACATACAATAAAGTATCACAACACTCGTCATTAATCAAAAAGTAAATATTAAATACGTTATTGGCTCCCAAAGCCTTATTGAATATTTTACAGTATTTAGAAACGACACTTTTCGGTAAACCCAGTAAAATTTAGTTTTATCTGTACAACGTTATTAGTTTTCAACAAGCACATTAAATATTTATCGAAGGTGTAGTTCAGTACAAAATTTATTTTATTTTTTTCAATCTGATTGTCCATTTGCAGCGTTCTTTAGCAATAATAATACTGATTATTAGAATAATGATGATGATAAATGTTATTATTATAACAGAATTTTACACACGAAGTTTTTGGTTTGCGCTTCATTATAATTTTTTTAAAGTGTTTCCTTGGGTTATGATATAGAAAATTGGATATGCATGGATAATGCGTATGTTTTTATCACTGACTGATAAGGAAATGCGTGTTTTTTTAATTTAGTGAAATTCTGCAACTTTTACAGCTTGCAGAAATAAACAGTAATTTCAAGCTGTCATTAAATGCGACTGCTTTTGCTGGTCGCTCATTGGTTTTCTTTAAACCGTATTCATACTTTCTCTTTTACTATTGGTGACTGTATCTGTCTTTCACTGCTGATGGTCCCGCACGATGATGTCACCAGTGATATTCGCCATTTTCAACGGAATAGTCAACATATACAGAAGCGGAGTAGGTGTGTAGACAGGGCTGATTACATAAAGCCCCCTCCTCCTTTTAGACGAGGAAAGGCGTTCTATTGCTGGCTACGGTGTGAACATGTCATCCGAAATTGAAGAGTCTGAGGCTCAGGTGGAGTCTGGCGAGGAGAAACAGGTAGGTTAATTTTCTGCAGTCAGTAGCCAACTTAATAACGCAGGTACCTAGTCTCTCTGTTGCGCTCGATAGTTTTATCATTCGTGTGAGCTAAATTATTGTATGTGTTTTCTGTACGCTAATATTGCGATTCCTGTCATACAAAATGTAACAAAAACTAAGTATGTAATTAATAAAATCCGAAAGTCGTGCCCACCTCCCTATTTTTCTACGCTGAAGAGCCACGGAAGTCCCACCTCCGCCCACGGCTTATCTTCACTCCCATTGGCTTTTGAACTAAGCAGTCAATTCGGTCGTGTGCGCCATTGGTTAGAGTTTAGCTTTACTGCTGTTGCAAAGTTATTTTCCGGTTGTACTGAAGGAGAAAATAACTTAACGGGTTAATAAAGTAAAACTAGAACTTTGATATTTATGTTCCTTTTGGCTTTGTGTTGATTTTGGACAACTATATCCATTTATCTAATTAACTGCCTTGCAAGCCAGCTGTGCTACCATGATGTTATGGTAGCTAACAATCACGTCGGTCGCTGCTGGTTGAATTATTTAACAATATACAGGAATGCTCGTAAGATGGAATAACCAACCGCGAACTGCTCATATATGTCACGAGGCCATTATTTAATTAGGCGTTTTTAAGCGTGCTGTTGTAATTGGTTTCCAGTACTTTCTTAATGTTTTAACACATTGGGAAATGCAGTTCAATTAGGAGATATTTAACCTAGTCCACCCAGCCCCAGCGATGGTGAAAAGCTCCTTTTCCAAGGTTAAGCGAAATCACGTTAGCTGATAAGGCTAATAATATCCACCCACCCACCAGGTTACTGTAATATACATCATGCATTGCAGCTGTTTTGCTTTAAATTAGATTATTGTAGTGAATTAGGCATATGGACCAAAGTCTTGTCATAGTGTTTCATGTGCTTTTTAATTGCATATTAATTATTATGTTAATTTAATTTAATTGAGGCTCTCTTGGCATTGCTCTTTGGAGACGTTATACATCACGTATACTTAATATGCATATTTATACTGCTTCTTGTGAATTACTCGTTTTTCCCTAAGATGGCATGAGGCAGTCTTGATATCTACTTTTTAGGCTGCCAAAGTAACAAAGACTTGGTGCCACTGAGATGAACTCAATTTTGCAGCTGCTACCCTCCAGGGAGGCTTTATTTTAGGACCCTGACACTTCTCTAGTTTCTCAGCTAGTTGTTTTTACCTGTCTTTAGATGACTTTGGCCTGGAGTAAGGGGGATAACAATGCTCAGCATTAATTTCAGCCTTCGAGAGGAGCTAAAGGTTACCTCCTTTGTCACTGGCTAGAAAGATCTCATGGAGAAGGATTTAGGTCACATCTTTTGTGACCTAGAAACAGGTTTTTGTGTAATTGTCCCAACTATTATTTTTTTTTTGGTTGTGTTGGGGGAGTGCAGGATTTGTGGTATTTCAGGATGCGAGTTAGCCCTTCTGGTGTAATGGCTCACATAATTGACAGTGTCGGAAGAATAAGATACAGAAGTGGCAGGCCTGTTGATTTGAATTGGTTTGTCCCTGCTATGAATTCTCCAGTCAGGCTTTGTGGGAAAGTGGGCGTGGCACAGGCTTATGCACTTTCTGGCTTTCTGGTTCCTAATGTAACTGGCAAGTCAGGGTGTTCTGCAGTTATACACTGAGCTTACATACATGTGATTGTTGGCTTCCAAAGCAAGTTAATGTGGCTGGACACAGTAGATCAGTGTTTGTCACCCCAGTCCTCATGAACCCCCAGACAGTCCAGATTTTTTCTCCCAATACACCTGTACCTGTACTTAATGTTCTTTATTGTTTGGTGCAGATGTTTTGGGAGTTGATGTGGGCTGTCTGGGTTCCCGAGGACTGGGTTGACAAACACTGCCAAAGATCTATTGTATATATTGCAATGCAATGTGTGTAGATAATGTTAGCTACCAAAATGTATTGCAGTTTAAACCACCATACATGCAGCTGGTACTTAAAACGCAGTGTGTCAGTTCTGCTGTAAAATGTACAATTTACTTCTTGATGAAGCCCGTTAGTTTGTTTTTTAGTCTACTAGCCTATTTTTCTGGCCTTTATGCTGCTTATGGGTTAGGGTTGCACTGCATAATGAATCATAAAACCTTACCAAAGAAGATTAATATATTAGGACTTAATTGGGAAGCTTTCTTTCAGAGTCATATGAAATAATTATGTTAGTATATTTTAACATACACTAAAACCTGATTAAGGCCCTTTTCTATACTGCATAAACTGTAACACATGTATTCCCTCTGCAGTGGGTAGTTATAGTAATTTACAAGCTATCAACACTGGAACAAATCTCTGGACTTTGTCCCAGTATTGAAAATAGTAACGTATTAACATCCACCATAAATCTTAAGAGATGGTTAGTTATGAAAGGGAGGGCGTATCTGAACATCTGTTAGGTGGGTAATTCCTGGTTTGTCACCGTGAGCGGGCCAAGGTGACAAACAAGCTGGTAAAGCCGATTTATATTCCTGGTTCTCTGAGAATGGACTGCTTTTTCAGCTAATGAGAGTGTCACAGAATCCAGCTGTCTGCTCAGAGTGTTCCAGTCATGGCATTTGGTTTGGGCCGAGTTTGCCATGGCAACTTCTGGAAGCTGTCCCACTCTGTCCTATTTTTGTGCTTTTAAGTTTATATTGTTCTTCAGTCAGTCAGTTGTGTGTCTGGCATTGAACTAAAATTGCTTTGATGCTTTACTTCATTTGCCAGTTAATGCAGCTGGACATGCAAGAAATGACACTTTTTTTTATTGGACAGTGGGTGGGTCAACCTCCAAATTGGACCTTTCTGTTGGCACTATTGATATTGGTAGTTCTAAACAAGAAGAAATACAGGGTGCATAAACAGCTGTGTAAATCACTGAAACGTTAGGTAACATTATCGACTGAGTGATGTCAGGAGGGTTAAGTGTGAGAGTGTTAAGCCCATACAGTGAGATTTCTCTGAGGAGATGCCGGTTGGCTCTAAGCCCTTCCTGTTTCACTGCTCTGACAGCCTCTGTTCAGCTCAAAATCGCGACACTGAGATCCCTTAAATGTTTGAGAGATGTGAACTGAAATTTAAAGCACTTACTGAAAGGGAAAGGCCTTCTTTGACAGGACTCTCAGGAAAAGGACTCCAATCCGGTGAAGGCAGAGGAGGCTAAGCTGAAAGCCAAGTACCCCAACCTGGGACAGAAACCTGGAGGCTCCGACTTCCTGATGAAGCGGCTTCAGAAGGGGGTAAGCAGCACCCCCACCGTCCGGCTCCGCCCCCACCGTCCGGCTCCGCCCCCACCACCCAGCTCGCAGCAATGGCGGCCGTGTCACGGTTGGCACTCAAGTGCATGCGGCGAAGCGAACGTGGATCTCATCCTGGCATCTGCCTCTTCTTCCATGTTATGTCGGGAATCCTATTTTGTGTTTGTCAGTAATAAACTGTTGCTAATTCACCGCACCTCGTAAGAGTATTTTGACCCTTGACCAATCCTATCGTTTAATTGACATACAAATTATACATGAAAATTTTTGTTCTGTGTTTTTTTTCCCAAAGCAGTGAAATGCAAAAAAGACAGCCTTGTGTCTTTAGGCCTCAGTTCGTACCAGCTTTGCATGATGTCCAGGAGTGATTTTGGCCCAATCTCCCAGTCAGAATAGCTCTAGCGATTCTCACTTGGGTTGAGGATGGGGCTTTAACTAGGCCATTCTAGGGCACGTTCAGGAGCCTCTCTGGTGTTACCTTGGCCTTGTGGTTGGGATCACTGTCCTGATAAAAGACCAACTTTCTCCCCAGCATCTGTTTTTTAGCAGATAGGTCTTTTTGCTGTCTTTGTGTGTTTCGCACCATCCATCCTCCCTTCCTTCCTTCCTTTTTGAGAGGATGCCCACATGGGCGGTTGAAAAGCAGCCCCGCAGCGTGATGCCTCCCCTACCATGCCACATTTTGGGTGTGCCCTTTCTGTAGGTGTTGCCAGTGTTAGATTTGTGCCACGTTGCTTTGAATTTTGCCTAAAATACTCTCTTTGTCTCATCTTGCTCAATCTTGAATTGAAGTGCAGTTCATTTTAAGTTAGTTTTCAGTGTAGTTTAAATAGCTTTTATTTTAAAGACGAAATATGTCTTTTATGGATTTTTTTAGGGACAAACTGATGGTTGTAGAACTGTTCTATGTGTGTGATCTTTAGCGAATCCTATACGAATACTCAGTATGCATCACATACTAATGTCCTCAAATGGGCAAAGCATGTCCCAGGTAACAGGAAATATAAAGAAATCATTAGTTAAGTAGTATTTAAAAATGGTAATGAAAATTAATTGATCCTTGTTTTTATTTTATTTCAGTTAGTATCAGAAGCAATATTTATAGCTTTCATTTAGTTGTAGTTTTTTTTTAAATTCTATTTTACTTTCTTATTTTAAGTTTTACGAAAATGCCTTTAGCTTTAGTTTTCATTAACAATGATAATCCTGGTTCTCGCAGGGGGTTTCGAGGGAAGACCTTTCAGGCAGCGTCTCAATAGCTTGGCGTGGCTTCCGCTTCCTGATAATTGAACCAGCAGTGTCCACTGGGACTGCCGAACAATTTTGTACTGTTTTCCTTGCTTGTATTTGCTTTACTTTAACTTTGGAACTTCACTTTAGTCTTTATAGCTACTAATTTTCAGTATTCACAGGTAAGACACAGATGTAAGGCAGTTGTTTCCTCGTTAGAACATTCTTTTCCACCTAAGTAAACTCAGCTTTCACATTAGACTGATTAATTATGCGAATGGAATATTCCAGTTTTTTTTCTTTCTTTTTAACACTGGCATCCTGCTTTGTTCCTTACATCCCCAGAAGCTGTTTGGGGACGGAGCGATGCATTTTATTTAAGAATATTTTCCAAACATAAAACGCTGTAACATTAATTATAGTTTTAATGTTTAGAAACAAAAATATTTTAAGCAGAATATAGGATCTGTAATTCAGTAAAATGACAGAACTTGTCCTGGGTCTAAATATTTTTGCGATGTGCTCCACATAAACCCAAGACTTCATCACTGGGGTTGAGTACATAATTGGGTCAATAGTCAAATATGAGATGTTGGATCACACATTGTTATTGAAGATATATGAATTAATTTTAAAAATGTAAATGAAAGCAGTCTATCTTGTAGTGCTGTAGGAAGGATGTAATGTGTTTAGTCAGGATTGATCTAAACTGCCCTGTGATTTCATACCGCATAGTTCTGCATGGGAATACCGTCGCAACACATGCGCCAATCATGCCAAGTCGAGACATCCACGTTTGCCTCTTTGCCGTCCCACAGCAGAAGTACTTTGACTCGGGGGACTACAACATGGCTAAGGCCAAGATGAAGAACAAGCAGCTGCCCACAGCTGGGCCGGACAAGAACCTGGTGACAGGGGACCACATCCCCACGCCGCAGGACCTGCCCCAGAGGAAGTCGTCGCTGGTGACCAGCAAGCTGGCGGGCTAGCAGCAGCCACGTTGCGGTCTCACCGCAGCTCACGTGCCGCCCCTGCTCCCACACACCAATCCCAGCTCCCCTCTCCTCTTCCAGTATACCCAACCCTCCCAGTACTCCTCTGCCAGGCTCCATGGGGCATAACCAGTGAGGAAAGGGCTCTAGAGTTGATTAATTTAGTTTTTTTTTCTTTCTGTTTTCGGGATAAGGGTGGGGCCGTCTCTCCATGTGCACTTCTGCTTGTGGCATGCCTCCCCCCCCCCCCCGGAATGGAGGCAGTAGAGTCCGAAGAATTAGCATTAGCGTTAGCCTCAGTCAATGCAACAGAGCCACCGGGAAAGGGGTCGAATAATCGTGTCAGCTAGGATCGTCATCTCGCTGTTCTTTATCATCTTGTACTTTCTGTTGGCTGAAGCGTGGATTGATTAAACCAAATTTCTGAGCCTTGGTTTAGTAGCCAAAGAAGAATGTGAGTGTAGCTTGGCACAAATGGTGGATTTAAAATGATTGGATTTGCAGTAGCCGGTGTCATGGTAGTGACTTAACGTCTGCTTTGTTCCGCTGCCACCGGTAATTGGGAATATCAGCTTTTGACCGAAGCTTCTCTGCTCTGCTGTCTCTTATATGAACCCATCTTACCTGATGGGGGGGCAGTGATATCGCTCTTAATAGTCTCCTGGCCAAACATAAATATTTTCAGCAAACCACTACTAGCTTAAAATCAAAATCTATAGACTTGTATACATAACCAGCAAGCATCAGTACAAGCTTCTAAGTAGCGTTCAGTCCCTCTGCCTAACCTGAACCGATCTCTTACCCACACTGGTGGCCCACCCCTCATGTCTTGGTTCTCAGCCCAGGGCTGCTGTGTCATATAAGACTGTTTTGTTTTTCCTGCAGAGGGAGGTAAAGATGCAAGACCCACCCAATTATTGCTTAAGCTGTTGTGACACCCCTCAGCTGTAATTTTGACCAGGGCTGCCCACTGATTGGTGGATTATCAGTAGAAATCAACCCTAATGGCGATGCCACAAGACTCGACAAGGGAAAAAAAATGCAAAGGTTTTTACAGAGTGTTTAACCCCTTTGATCATCCACCTCCCCCCAGTTATTTAGAGGTGTCTTGCATCCTTTCCTCATGATACCCTTTGGCAAACAGCAAGACCATGCAGAATGTGTTTGCTGTCCCATATGAAGGAGCTAAGATGGATCGGCCAGTATGTTTACAGTTCACCAGCAAGCCTGTTTACATCTGGTGCAAGAATGTTGAGCTCTGCGTAAATCCAGAAGTGTTGGAAGGTAGTCATAAGTCATCAGAAGCCACCTGCACAGTAAGATATCTGGTTTCTCCCCTGTTTTAAGATGAGCCTTCATGATTTAGTGTGGGATTATGTAAATCTGAGCAGAGAGGTTTGTCCAGTCCCCTTATCCATCATATTCAGACTTTCGTCTGTTGTTGGTCATGGTTGTTTGAGAGCTCTAGTTTCCATGGGGATGTCATGGTGCCTGGATGCAGTGAATCAGCCCTGGGCTGTGGAGGGGGAAGTCTCTCCAGTGGCATTTTAAGTGTGCCAGACACATTCCATCTCACAGTGTCAGGATGACATTAATGTTGCCCATAACACGTGTAGGTGAATGGAGCCCTCATTTGAATACATGTTGAATCCCTTCAAGTGTGCTTATGTAAAATAGTTTATACATTTCTTTAGTTTATTTGTAATATATTCAACTTTCTTCTGCTTCACAGTTGTCTGCTGAATTTACTTTTGACAAAGGCCTGATTGATTAGGTATTGAATGGAGATGATTTGTTGGTATTGGTGTGCTCAATCAATGATTTGATTAGGCAAGTCACAGACTAAATTGCTGTTCAAGCTACTAACTGTTATGCAGAGATCAGATTATGTAATTATCCACTTGTTCAAAGGGCACAGTTAGACAAAACATTAAATGGTCTAATGCAATCAGACTTTTCCAGAAGTTTTCAATGTTAAGATGTGTTCAGAAATGTTCAGAATTTAAACCCTAAGTAATCAAATCTAGCTGCAACAAAAACCCTGTGAACACAGCAGGACTGAGGGTGTGAGGGATCGGTGATATTTGTTGAGAACTTATACTGACATAGTTTTTATTAGCACTGGATCTGGAGGATGTGTGTGTTTGTGTTTTCTGTGTCATGGTACAATGCGGGTCTGCTGAAGTCGCTCCCCCTTCAATCCCTGGCACAGCTTTTCTAAAAGGCAGGGTCATGAGTTTGTGGACGCTCCCTAGGTCATACGTATAAGCACTCCAAGGCTGATGTGGCATTTTTCAGACTCTAGTCTGCGCATTTATTGTGCAGAACGTCTTAGATGCCATCTCCTACTTAAACTCACACAAGACACACCAGAATTTCCTTTCAATGTTAGATTTACATGCTCTGTACCAGTTAACTGTTTCTTGAGATCAGCTTCCCCCCCCCCACCCTATCTGAGTTGACGAACCTTAGGTGTGAGGATGGGGTAACGTAAGATGAGAGAAGCTGTGAGCTCAGGGACTGACTCACTTCGCCGCGGCTGGGGGCAGTGAGGGCGGTGTTTCCGCTTCGTCGCTGCCCCTATGCAACCGTTGCCATGTGCTGTGAGGAAAACCCGCCTTTGTGAATGCATCACAGGTCTAACGTGAACTGGGAGCAGAGATCATCTAGTGTAGTTTGACATATAGGTGTGAGAAAAAGCCATTTCGGTATGTATGAGGAAAGACTTCTCCACCATAATGCCTCAGTTTCAAACATTAAAATTGCAATGGACTGTTGTATTTTTCCTTGCCTGGCAAATTTTTATTATAATTATTATTATCCTGTTCATGATTTAGTGCTAAGAAAATAACCAAGGAACTAATGAGGCAATACTTGGCTATTTGGTAGAAAGACCGTAGGGGGTGCTGTTCAGTTTTGAGCATGCATATGTATGTCCAAGAGTACTGTTTCTGTGTTTTTTTGGGTGAGCTTTATTCTTTGGAAACCTGTTCATACGATGCCATGTGGTTGCTTTTGCTTTACCCCACTGTAAATAGATTAAACTCCGTTTGTTTGTTTGTTTTTTCCTTTCTGATTGATCACTTTGTCCTTTCCTTTCCCAGCAGCAAATGAAATGTTTCAATTTGTCTTGTAAATCTTATCTTTTTTTTCCTCCTCCACAATACGTTTGCTGCAAAGATATTGTCTGCAGCCTTGTCGCTGCTGACCAGATTGTTGGAGAGACTACATGTACAATTAGAAGTAGTGACAAGCAAGTATGCTGCTGACTTATGTCGACATTGAGGGAAGTCCAGGGGTCACCTGACCATTACCTGTCAGTCCCTCTCAGCCTGGCTTTCCAGTACAATCATCTATCAGAAAACCCCATAGAGCTGAGAGTACGAAATGACAGGTGTGTATTGTGCAGGAGAATCAGGTCAAGCAGTTAAAATCTAAGAGGAAGTTGCTGAATAATGACCAGATAAGCAACACTGAATCTTTAGTGTGGTGTCGCTAGTTTTACCGACCAACCAACACGCTGTGATATTCACCACGAAAAGTTATGCTTGCCCTGTTCGTGCTACACCGTGCTTTATTGGAAAGAGTGACGATAGGCTCGCACTGCAGAGAATGATGACTTGTAGGCATTGATCCTACCAATGGTGAGCTGGCACAGCAGGCATCAGTTCCGTTGCAGTCCTGCAAGGGGCACTCTTCCTCAAGATTTTCAAAGCTTGTAATAATTCATGGAGATCGTCCTTTATAAATATCTATGGAGCACAGTGCAATGCAAGTGAAAGGTATTCTACACCACTGTGTCTCTGTGTGCTATGCTGGCTGTACACCAGAATGTACAAAAATTCATTATAAATGCATAACCAGATTCTTACATCCTCTTGCTCTACCTTTCTGGAATTCAATAGGTTTTAGTTATTGTGATGATAAACCTGTCATAGGTTAAAAAAAAAAAAACATGGAACCCTGACCCAAAGAGAATGTCAGGGAATCCGGGATTCATGATCCCATTTAATAGGGTTTACATGTCAGACATAGGTGACGATTGTAAAGTAAAAGTAAAAATGTACAGAAGACATTTCAATAGTAAGAGAGAAGTGATGAGAGTAATTTTTGTCAGTATTTGAAATAAACTTTTACATCAATTTAAGCTGTGTGCTGTGTTTTTGTATATTTCAGGACTACAATACTGAGCTTAAATCTGCATAGCATTAAATAGACAACAAAATGTGGTTTATGTGGTAAAGCGCCAGATTTGTTTCAATTTCCTTAAGATATGACATGCATCTATAGTGGGATCCTGAAAAATAGAGGCACCACGTTTTACTGCTGAAAATAATCAGAATACTGTCCAATTAAGTTCCCAGCGTCGTACAGAATCATTTCAGTGTCTTGAACTCCATATTCATACCATTATAAATACATCAATGCCCCTTGAACACTACATAGAAGAGAAAATGAAGTACTACTAAATATATATTAGCTGCAAAGCTTAACGGTCACATTTTGCCTGGTGTCCTATTTTAACAATACCCCATTTTCACCAGCAGGGGGAAACATAATACAAACTAATGCGCGTGCCCGCGCCAGCGATTTCTGGGACTCCCTAGAATTTACAAGAAGAAACAGTTACATGTAGTTTCGCAATTAATGTCATGCATGTTTATATATAAATAATGTGGTACATAAGTAATGCAAAACATTATAATTTTGTCATAAAATTAAATGTTATGTTTCCATTTTTTTTTACAGGCGCACTACTATGTCTTCGAACAACGCTTCCAGTTGTTCATAGTACAGTACGAACTGTTATCTGTATGAATTCACATCTTATCAGTGGCACTCCTTGCAGAAGAATTCCCATTGAAGGTTATCATAAGAAAGAAACGCTATACTGAAACAATGATTAATCACATGACTAAAGGGTTTGAAATCTTCGGTTTATACGTCAATGAAATAGGTTAGGGTCAGATAAGATGATTTGAGGGTGGTGCAACGGGTAGTGATGTGGCATCACACACCTCCAATAATTATCATGATTATGGATGGAAACCTCAACCCCCCCACGCACAAAGTTCAAACCAAAGTTACACCCTTGGTCAGAACAGAAATTGTCTAATATCGGACAATGAAATATGCGGCAAATTGTCCTTTGAGCACTTAACACTGACGTCATGATCACCAAGCACTAAGGTTAGCAAAAGTGTACATCTGAAGGTCAAACCAACCAGCTGACAACCGAAATGATTTTGGGTTTGGCCAGACTCTTATACGTCAGAGTATTATACTTCAATTTAATGACGACACACTTGTGACATGCAAAATATTCAGGATATGTTTGCAATTTTAAATCTATAGGCCTACTTATTTTAGACCCCGTGGACATCTCCGTGTTTACAAACCATCATTTTGTATTTTCTACAGTTTTAATTAATAAAGTGATTTATTAATAAAATGAAGAAAGTTTACTAGTAACTGAAATCTAAAGAGGAGGTCTTTTTGTATAATAAGCCAATCAGCTTCCATATTACCTATGACACTCAAAACCTTGACAGTTCTAGAAAACACTAGACTTAACTGCCGTGGACAGGTTTACCCCGGCGCCCCCATCGCATTTCAGCAACCAGAACTGATATATTTATAGCAAAATTACACGAAAATTTCTCATTAGGTTCATAATTATGCATACCAGTTAAATAAAATGTATCGGTGAGTCACAGACGTTTTTTGTTTGTTCAGAGTTATTCAAGGACTGCAGTGGTGGAAAATAAGCTATATATTCACTTAGTAATATATTATTTTTGACTCCGGATCTCCTGTATTTTGGTGGTCATTATTAATAAACATTGTTTTCACAATCATGGCAAAAAAATTTATTTATAACGAGACTTTTATAAGAACAAATCACTTAAATATAAAGTTCATGAACACAAGAACCGAGGATAAATAAATATTACAACCCTGCTTGACATAATTCAGGCGAGAGGATGATGAAGCACAATGAACTTATTTTACACATTCATGGAAACTCTGAACATTATTCTCCTACACAAGGTTTTTTAAGTCAGGGGTGATTAGAGAATACCGCTCTACGACTTGTTTAAATAAAAGGGGTGGTTCCGAGAGCAATTTAACCTCCCGAAAGGACTATCGGGAAATTTTTGCCGTGTATATCTAGAGGAGGTCCGTTTCAATTGTTGTAAACACAGCATAGGTTACCATGGTGAGCTTCAAAGCAAGGAGGGAGAGCCCTCTTTTTAATTCTACAACAATAATATTATATAACGTAGAGTGGTCTATTATATAGATGTTTTTATATGATGTATTAACTGCCATGCAAATATTTCAAAATATTTCACGTACAATGAAAGGTGTGTTTAAAAGGCGGAGCCAGTGTTGCCAACTTGGCGACTTTGTCGCTATATTTCGCGAGTTTTTAGACCCCTCTAGCGACTCGATTTTAAAAAAGCGACTAACGACTTTTTCTGGTGTTACTGGAGAATTTTGGAGACTCTGACGTGAAAGCACGTATCGTTCTTACTCTTCTCACCGAGCAGCGGGTGTTGCCGTGGGCTCCTCTCCCGTCCCAAAGCCCTCACTGGCTGACAGTCCTCGGGCAGCAGCCCCGCCCAGCTGCAGTCAGAGCAGATGTTAGCCCCTCCGCGTCCAGACTGCAAATGAACCGCGCATGCGCGAATCCGCCGCTGGCTGATCCTGTCTTGGCTTGGTCAGAAAATAATGTGTCTTTGGGGTCACTTTGCCGGTCCCAAGTCCGGATAAAGTAGCAGGGTTGGAATTGTGATATAAAAAAACAAGAATCGACAGAAGTTCATTTGTAGTTCTAAACGTATTTAGGGTGTTTAACCACCTTTTGTCTCTCCCATTATTCCGGTCTCCTGCAGTCACATTATGCAAACGAGGCGATGGTGTCATTTGTCATTTAAAAACTTTCAGCGACTTTTGGGAGAGTAGCCAATAGCTACTTTCCTTGTTGAAAAGTGGGGCGGAGCATACTTGGGTGTCTTTACATAGATGTGCTTCGCTCCTCGACTTCCGCTTCAGGTTTTGTCTGCTGAAACTGCTGCCAAATCTACCCGTATTTCTTTTTTTCCGGCGTACCCAGCATAAAGGTACCGCAAACCTTTTCACTTTTAACATGAATCTGATCAATCGTACCACGGCCACCGGCTTGTTCTGCCCCGGCATTAAAAATGGCGTGAAGCAGAACGGCTTCTACAGCTTTGTATCGGCGTCTCTGCCCGTAGCCCCGCTCAAAGCGAAAAGCGAAGAGGAGCTGGACAGTCTGGATGAAGGCGAACGTTTTCATGGAGCGCCGAAAACAGAGAGGCGTGATTGCGAACACCACTTACGGGCGTCGGGCAACGAAGACGGGTCTTTGCCGTCCACGCCGGGGACGCCGCCGGACTGCGGGAAAATGCTGACGTTTCCCAACAGGGGGCTCAGCCAGGAGACTCATGAGCTTATCGGGACCTTCTTACGGACTTACAGCGGCCTCCCGGCCTCGGCCAGCCGACACAAAGCGTACCCTGTCCTCAGACGAGTGGCGGAGACTGTCATAGGAAAGCACTTGATCGCGTACAATGGTGAGTCTTCCCCAAAAGACCCACATTTATCGGGTGATTTCTTCGCGGGGGCCCCGATTTAGGCCCTTAACGCTCTTTTAATCCGGGGACTGTCTGATTTTCAGCTGTACGTCGTTTGGATAAAAGCGTCTCTTAAATAGACAACGTAGCAAAGTTTCTGAGTAATTCAAGCGATAAAAGCCGAGCCGTTAGTGGCGAGTAAGTATACTTCCTGAAACGGGAAATTTAATATGTAAACTTCACCATTGTAACGTTGTATTTCACATTGTTGCTTTTTAACTCTAATGGAAACCCGAGGGCTACACTTATCTTAGGTGAATACTTTACCCGTTGCTCAGTTACACTCTGTGTGGTTGGGTTACGATCTTTGGGACGACTGGCTAATTTATGGTGTGATTATGATTAACCATCCTGGACCTGCTAGTATCCGCCGCTTCCTGGTGCCGTATATCTATAGCGCTGGATGAAAGCGGGCCTCCCACATCGCGTCGCCTACTCGATGTTGCCCTTCCTATTCGCCGCTCGTCTCCTGGCTGTGGCGATATACCTCTCGCTTTGCAGGCAGATAAGCTCCGCTTACGTCTGATTCTAAGAATTTTAGATTTTTTCCGAAGTGTTGTGCGTCTAGGGGGCGTTTCGCTCATTAATCGCCCCCGCGCAGCAATTTTCACGGAGTGTGTAGTAAGCAGGCAGTTTTAGGGGCAAAATGAGCTTATCTCTAAGTTTTTGAAATGTTATGTCTTTCAGTCGTTGAAGTTTCCCTCGTATGCGAGAGCCACCCAGTGCAGTCTAGTTTCTCTTCAAGGGGATTTACCTCGCTGTACACAAATACTGAACTGCTCTCGTAAGCACCGTTGCGGTGCCCCCCCCCCAACCGACCTATGCAAATTTCTTCCTACAACCTAAAATAATGTTTTGTGTTGTGCGTGTTTATCTTTCTCTATAGCAAAACGTTGCATATTTCGAAACTCATGCAAGAAAGCTTGAAACAAGTGGTTTTTTGATGATAGTCAGTAGCCCCATTACCCACAGCCACGAAATGTTCTGTAGTAGAGCTTCTAGCCCTGGTTTCTCAGTTTCTGGGGTCACTTCTCCTTCTTAACCGCTGCTGAAGTTGGGTTGCAAAATTCTGGGAATTATGGTAAATTTGCGACCCTGCGCTGAAGTGAAAGCGAGAGTTTGCTAAGCCTGAGAGGCAAGTAGGAGTTGTGGTGGCGGTAACAGGTCCTCCTCCTGTTTCTGATCCCCAGTTGAATCATATTAATATTTATTTTTAAGAAATATTTTATTTTTCTGTGTCTGTTTGATGTAATGTGCTGGGTTTGCCTCTGTGTCATTAGATGGCTGTGGAGTGAACTATCAGTTGCCTAGTGACTGTCATGCTCGTGAGTGGTGGTGATTCAGTCTGTGAGTTATGCAAAGTCTCAGAGGTTGCCAGTCTTTAGGCAGCTGCCCGAACGCCACTCTTTAGGTCTCTGCCAATGTACAACGTGTCTGCTTATTTCCCTCCGTTTTAGGCATGATTAAAAAACTAGAACTGGATAAGCGTGGGGACGACACAAGTTTCGTCACGAAGGTGGCCGAGGAAATCTTCAGTGACAAGGTCACCAACTGGGGTCGCATCGCCAGCCTGATAGCGTTTGGGGGTGTCGTGTGCAAGTACCTGAAAGATCACGGACAGACCAACTGCGTGGATGATGTGGCAAGCCGGATCAGCTGCTACCTGCTGGAACACCAGAGGGACTGGCTAAACCGTAACAATGGCTGGGTGAGTGCAGTGCCTTAGATCTTCGTATTCATGCAGAACCGTTTTCTTTGAGGCTGTCTGGCTGCTCCCTGTGTTCATTGTTGTCCCAGTAATACAAGCTGTCCTTCCCCCCCCCCCCCCCCCCCCCCCCC